TAATTCATAAAATTTAATATAATTTCGAAGCTGCTCATCAAATTTCAATGGCTTTGGCCCACAAACCAGATACATTTTTATCTGTGCAGCACCCACACGATGTTACTTGTTGATATTTACAACTTTCATGTTTATTGTTGTATTCCCCATTCTTCAGGTGAGTGCGTAAGCATCATTATTATGATTATCAGTGTTGCACTGAAATGGGGGCTTTTTCTATTATTACCATTTGCGGCCCTTTGTTGACCTTGTTGTTGGCTGTTTATTACGCACACACAATGGGCGCCTTCTATTCCGTATCTAGTCTGGCCCAATATTTGACAAAAGCGTCACCAACAAGTGGTGATAATTCAGATAGAAAAGCCAATTATGGCGGGAGGAAAGTCGTACAATGATTTCTTTTAATGAACAAAAAACTACTGTTGTTTGTTGGGATTTACTTTACTTTAAAACAATGTTAAAAAAAAACTATTTTAATTAGCCAACAATTTTTAAACATTTAACACAAATATTTAAGCAAAAAAAATTTTTATTTTATGTTATGGTTTTAGTTTTTTTAATTATTAAACAAACATAAATACTTACATTCTCTTTAAATTATTAAACTCAAAGACTTTTGAGCACTTTCAAGGATTTGTATCTATCTATCTTAAAGAAAACAAGAAATGCCAGTGGAAAAAGAAAAAACTTTGATTTTTCCTATTGCAATTTTGTTTCTATTTATAGCAACCGACTTGGAGGAAGAAACAACAAAAAAAAACAGAACATGAAGTTTTTGCCATTTTGGCAGCTTTTGGCGCCTGGCCAACTATTTTCTTGGAAAGAGGTAAGGGGGGAATCACCTACTCCACAACCAGTTTGTTTGCCTTGACAACCAGTTGTGTTTCAACCCAAAAGCCACCCACTCGATTGAGGAAAAAAAGATTGCTCACAGCAGTCGAATAAAAACTGCAATGAAAATAAAATGCAGCCCACAAATTAAGCGCATTTTAAATACCTCTGGTTGGTTCTAAAAAAAAGATGAAAGAGGAACGTAGACCGTTGCACCAAAGGGTTAAATGCCCGCCGAGGTCGTCTTTGTTGGTCTCGGTCCCATTTAAGTGGGTCAACACAAAGGAAATGAGCTCATTGGTATACATTTTCCAGTTCATTTGCGTTGATTAAAGCTTTTCGGCCTGACATTTGTTTGTCTGCCGTCCCTCAATTTCCCCTTTCCCTTTTTCCGCTTTTCGCGGCTGAAACCCCATTAATATTTTGCACACACCAATGTAAATTAGAATTTGCCTCTAAAAAGGTCAGATACACAGAAAAATATCAATTCAAAGTCAATTTGGTGTATTGTAACATTTTTTTTTCAAAGATTGGTATGCTAAACGTTGTAGAAAAACTAAATACCTTAATTTGTATATTGAAATTCCTCTATCTTATCTCTTTTATGTGCGCATTAATCAATCTAGTGATTTTTGACAAAGTAACCATCATGTATGTTAATGAGTTCCCAAAAAACATTTTCATTTCAATTTTTTTTTTATAGTGTCCTGATAAGAGTTTTTCAGCAGATCGGTAATTTCTTATCAAAATGTATTGGCCTCTTTTTTATCAGATAGATACAAAAAAATTCATATTTCATTTTCCTGTTTATTTGATGTGAATATTAACGATTCTCCTGTGTTTTGGCAGTTAATGTTAAAAAGATATCTGCACATCAATTTATTTTTGATAAGAAAATATTTATAAAATCTATTAAAGAACGTTTTTTTCTGTGTTAGTAACGAAAGAGGGTGACTAATTCTTCCCGAAGAGAAGCGGACAAATATCAGAGTGTGAAGAGCAACGGCAAAAGTTGGTTAATGACGTCAGTGAAGCGACGATAATGAAAGAAGTCCGCTCACCCGATCGGATCATGTGGGCACGTGCGTGAGTCAGACCAGCGAAGAGCCCCATGGATAGATATTGAAAGAGGCGAAGTTTTCGTTGGTTCCACTTGAAAATGTGGCAAGGTTTATAGCTTTTTTCTGGTGGGTTAATCTTATCAGTTGCACGGAGAACTTTAACTATTTTAAACTTGTACAATGCTAGTTATAAGTGAATGATTTTTTAAATATTTGTGAACAAATAATTACTTGGTATATTCATTTTAAGAGAATCATAGTTACAATTTAAGTGAATTTAAAAAATTGTATTGCTTAAATAAACAGTTTTTTTTAAATGGTTTTTATAAAGAAAAGGTAATAACACCTTTTGATATCCTAAACTCTATTTTCATCACTTTTCTACTTATTTTATTTTAAAAGAAATTTTAGAAAACCCTCAATAAACAAATAAATCATAGTGTATACACCAAAGAGGCTATGAAACATTGAAAGAGAGTAATAACTGCCAGCAAGATAACGCTCAGAGCGCCTCTTTTCTCACCCTGCCAAAGGTTAAATACTCAATTTGTTGATCGTTTATTGTTGCTCTTTTTGTGGCTGTCAATTTCCCGGCGATTTTTGTTATTTTTAGCAAGTTGTTGAAACTATCAGTTTAATACTTTCCAGCCTTTTGGAACGTCTAAACGATTTTAATAACTTTGAAGAGTTTATCAAATACTGAAGCAAAATTGTTATCAATTGGTGGATAAAATAAAATTTAATTCTTTAACTTGTAGCTGGAACTTTAGCGACCTCTGGATAGTAGTAAACAAGTTAAAATTATAATCTATTTTAACTGAACTTCTGTAAACATGCAATATAGTTATAATAATCACTGTCTTAGAAAATATATCTTAAACACTTTTCTATATCGATTTTTAATCTTCTTATCTTTAAACAATTTTTTTATTGATGAAACCGCTTTGTAATTCCAATTAGTCGTATATCATATAATGGTTCAAACTATAGAAATCATTAAAAAATGCCTAATAACCGGTTGGAGGGGTTGCGGTTAAAGCCCGAGCAAATGACGCACATATGGTAAGGCGAGACTCACCCGATAGATCTGAATCTCCTCCAGAACCACCTCCGATTCCCGAAGAACTCGCTCCACCTCGTCATAGATTTCGCGCTCCGTTTCCGTGGGTGCGGCATTTTCGAAATCCAGGAAAACATCGTAGGATTTGGCGGCGCAACAATTCGAGTCATCGCGTGACAGCAGGCTCAGCAGCTTTCCCATTTTCTTTGATTAACTAATACTTATTGTGGTGTGGATATCGTAGTATTTGTTTTCCTTTTATATTTTGGTTATTAATTAGCACTTTTGGTTTTTTTTTTTTTTGAGCACTGCGAGGAATGGGAATATAACAAAGAATATATAAGCAGCTGTTGCACCTGTTGTCACAAAAGGGCTTAATAAATTATGTGGTTCCCAAAAAAAAAGCAGCTGCAAAAGTTGCTAGGGATAGTTGTTTGGAGGTCGATTGTGGGGAAGCTGCATTCAGGAACTTATTTCATCTTTTGGAGGACAATGGAAAACGGCCACCAAGGGTGGAAAACGCGGGGAAAACAAAATACTGGCCTTTCAATGTTTGTCCCTTCATAGAAGGTAAAATGACACAGATGGTTCCGCATAAGGGAAATTCTTGTATTGTAGGTTCACTTTTAACAGGTATTAAACGAATAATTTAATTTTTTTCTTAAAACTTATGAAAACTTTTTCAATTGAAAGAACTTTTCTTGATCTTAATTCAATTTTTCTTATATTTTAAAATGAAGTTAATAAAATATGATGATATTGTGTTACATTTTCTATATTTTTACAAAAGAAAACTTGGATTTTCCACACTTGTTTCTACCATATCCAATATTTACTGTATTATTTTCGACCTCTGAAATTGCACTGCGGGGGGTGAAGAGGAGTGGGAGAGCAAAGGAGAGAGGAAGATTACAAGGAGAAGAGCCATGTGTCTCTCTCACACTTCGTTTGTGTGTGTTACGCAGGAAATGCTGCGAAATCGAACCAAATCGAAATTGGTAAACAAAAAAAAACGGAAAATCAGCAAGGCCAATTTTCACACATCGTGCTTAGTAGGAAAAGGCAATTTTCCTGCTCACGGAGCACATGTAAACACATATTGCGAAAAAAAAGAGCAACAAAAACGGTCTTGTTTTTATTCAAGAATTGTGGCCATGTGTGTGTGGCTTTTGTTTATCTGGCTTTTCGTTATCTTGCTCTTTTGCTTTCCTTTTTGCGCCTGTTTCGCTATTTTGCGCGCTTATCTTCACTTTTATTATTTATACATTTCCAAAGGGTTCGTCTGCATTGGAATTTCGTTGCTTTCTTCCTTTTTTTTTCTTCACGCTTATCACCTTTTTGATCCACTGTACGGACTTTGTTTAATTTGTATTTTATTTGAAAAAGCGCAATGGCGCCTATAATATGCTTGGCACCTCGCGGATTTAAATGCTTGTATTTTTTTGAAAACACAGAAAACATACACGATTTTCGTCTCAATTCGATGCGAATGCGATACACACGCCGCCACACAAAAAACACAACAACAAACAACAGAGTGACCGTCGCTGGGTCTTGTATTATAACGGCATCCCGACACCAAATATACTTAAATAAAACTGGCATAAAATACTAAAAGTATACCACACAAAAACGAGCAAGCTAGTGATGGAAGTCTGAACCTATCTACACATTTTGTTTGATTTAAAAGAAATAAATAGGAAAACATTTAATTTTCCAATAACTAAAGATATTTTTCTATATTTCTATTCATTATTGCTGTTTATGGGATTAGATTTTAAATTAAAGAGGCCACCTCTGGATAACATATTAAATAAAACAATATAAAATTAAACTCAATGTTTATTTAAATATTTGTTATATATTTTTTGCAAGCTAATACAATTTTTTTAGGCAGAACTTTAAAGCATCATATAATTTATTATTCATTGTGTTCTTTAATTCAAAAATATTAACCAAATAGTTGTTTGTATTAAACTTATTGGAATGACTCCCATCAATATAACGATATATCGGCCAGCCAGTAAGTGCTGAACAACGCCGTAACTATCGCTGTAAACCAGTGCACGCCGAAAACAGTGGAGTTTTCTTGATTACTATTTTCCGGATAATCCCTGCGAGTTTTCTGTAAGAAACCGACCCACAATGACCGATAAGAGTAAGAACCCGCAGCTGGACGACCTGCAACGCCAGTTACTGGATCGCCTAGCCAAAAATGACACCAGTGGATTCAAGCAACTGCTGGTCGGTTGCAAAAATGTGAATTTCGTGGACGACAGCGGGATGTCGTGTTTGGCGCACGCCAGCTTTAAAGGAAATCGCGAGGCAGTCCAACTGCTCTTGGATATGGTGGGTATACCTGGTACTCGGACCCTCTTTGGAGTTATCTACCACTCGGCCCACAAGTGTCCCTCTTTTCAGTAAATGTTCCTATTGAACTGTGCATAGGGTTGATAACTGGGGGTACAGAACTCATAATCTACCGGATTTATAAAACCTTAACTTAATCAAATAAGTCTATTACATTTACAGATTCCTTAGTGCATCTCGTTTCCGAGTAAATATATCTATCAACTTAAGATCTAAAACTTATAGAACTTAAAAACTCTTTAATAAAGGGTTCCTAAAATGTCCATTATATATCAAGGATTAGATTATCAAGAGTTCAAACAGGTTCTAATTTAACGCCCAGAAACCTTTCCTACTTTTAGTTAAAGTACTACAAATTTCACGAATTTATATGCTTAAAAAAAACAGCAGACCCGAAACTTTTTTAATCATTAAAGATTTATGATACACTTTCTAACTCGCCTTTTTTACTTTCAGGGTGCCGACATAAACCTCAATCAACATGGAGCTGATTATACGCCACTGCATTTTGCTGCCTTATCTGGTAATACCCACGTGTGCCGGCAACTATTGGATGCCGGTATCAAGCCAAGTAGCATTAATAGTGTCCAAAGGACCGCCGCCCAAATGGCCGCCTTTGTGGGCAACCACGGCTGCGTGGAGACCATCAACAACTATGTGACCCGCTCGAGTTTGGAGTACTACACCCAGGCTCATGGCCAGCAAACGGAGCCCCAGATTCCACCCAGTTTACTGAATCCCTTCCATGCCTTTGTCACCGAAATCAACTTGCATCCCGTGAGGATTGCCCTGAATGTTCAGTCATTGGGATTACTCAGGATCCTCTCAAACCTTCGCAAGACCCTGTCTTTGATGTGCGAAAAGGAGATGCAAAAGACCCATGACCTCAACGAACTTCTGGCCTTTAAGTTTCACTATCAGGGTTGGATTCTGGCCGAACTGATACGCTGCGAGGAGCAATTCAAGGCCCAGCACAAGGAAAAAGGTGGCGAGGAGGCCGGCGATGCCAACAAGAATGATTTTATTGAAATGTTCGTGAAGCGGGTGCTCAAGGAGAACAAGCTGGGTCAGCTGGACTACGTGGAATACACGCTGAGGGAGTGCGCCCGCGAGTTTCCCGTAAGGGATTGCACCATCTTCCGGCAAATCGCCACCCAGTTTGGCGCCAAGGATGCTCCGCCAGCTTTGACTATCCTGCGAAATGCCATCAACGGAATGAGAGGATTTGTGGTAAGTTTTATCAGTCATTTATTCACATTATACAAATTCAGATATTAATCTTTAAATTTTTTTAAATCATAAAAAACAATCTTTAGTTAAAAATTCATGTTTGTACCTAAAACATTTTTAAATTTTTATTGCTATCTGGCTTAACAATGGATTAGCTATGAGTTTAATATGGGTACACTTTGTTTCCACCATACAAAGAGCATAGTCACCAAAAGTTTCTTGAATATAAGCGTAAAATATGTAATAAAAATTCGTATTGTATTTTTTAGGACGAGGGCAGCTACTGCAGCACCTGCGGCGCGGAAAAGCCGGACAAGAAGTGCTCCAAGTGCAAGGCGGTGCAGTATTGCGATCGGGAGTGCCAACGACTCCATTGGTTTATGCACAAGAAGAACTGTGCCCGTCTGCTGGCCCAATCCCAAAACCAATCGCCATCGCAAGCGAAGGGAACCATCGATACCGCCGAGCTGCGTGAGGAGCTTTCCAAGCTGACTGCGTAATCCTGCGATCCTTTGTAACGCTAATAAATGTAACATAAAAACACGGATCTAAGCATTTTCATGTAGTAAATTATAGTTAGTACCATCTGTCAGTTGACAACACAAATTATGCCACAAAAATAGATAATATTAATGGCTGAAGGGAAAGGCAGCTTTAGAACTTTTCAATAACTTTCAGTCAAAAATTGAAATTAAAACTGCCCAAACTTTTTATATCCACTAAACGAAAATATAAATATAATATAATAACTGCAATTTAAAAACCATTTTTAATGGGTTGTGACTTCAAAATTACAAATTTGTTTTTAAATATAAAAATCTTTTTTTCAAAGACTTTTTTTAAAATGGAAAATTTTGGGGTTACTTTAAAAATCATAAAAAACCATTACCAGAATATTTTATTTTCGAATGTTAACGGAATAAACAACATTCACCATTCTTTCTGTTGTGTCTTTTCGAATGTTAAATTGACAGTGTTAGCGGTATTCATCTGGCTTTCTGTTATCTGCTGTGAAAAGTCGAAAACAAGAAACAGCTGACGACAGTTTAATACTTTTCATGTTAATCTATTTGTGGCTAGTTGTTCGTTAAAAGTTGCTAAGAACAGTCTTAAAATGGTGAAAGTTTGGTATATGGATACTGAGGAAACCGATCAACGCTTGGAGCACCATCGCAATCCCCCAACTTATTTGGAACTGGATGATCTTTACAAGAAGACCGGCGTGGAATACTTTAAAGCAAGTCAAACTACGACTTTAAACCCTAGTTGACCTTGGTTGCGAGCTTATCTTGATCATTCACTTTTTGCAGATCAACGCGGACGAATACCAGAGCGATAACACTCTTACGGAACTAAGGGCACAACGTGGTTACACTTATGATGATGAGGCAAGATCGGCGATCCCATAATAAGAGAGAGAATTTTTATAAATTCGAGATTTATTTCAGATCACCTGCTCGGAAAAGTGTCTCCCAGATTATGCTAACAAGTTAAAGGCTTTTTTCACCGAACACCTTCATACGGATGAGGAAATACGCCTAGTTTTGGATGGATCCGGTTACTTTGATGTCCGCGAGTGAGTACTGGCTTACGTCTATTTTTTTACTTAATTTTAATTTGTGTTCTTTTATAATACATTTATTACTCGGTCGAAAAGAATTTAATTTTTATTCAATTTAATTTATGCATTTTAGCAACGAGGAGAACTGGCTGCGTATTCTGGTTGTGAAAGGAGATCTGATTATAATACCTGCTGGCATCTACCATCGCTTTACTTTAGATTCCAATGTAATTTTACCTATTGCGGTGTATTACTTAGGTTTATTTATTTTAAAATTTTTATTTTTGCTTTTATAGAACTTTATTAGAGCTCGTCGCTATTTTGTTGGCGAGCCCGTTTGGACACCGCACAATCGTCCCGCCGATGATATGGATTGCCGAAAATCCTACATCAAACATCAGTCGGAAAACTTTGTTCAATTGAACAAGGTTTGAAGAATATATGTACCTATATTTTAAAACAAAGTTTGATATTTGTAAATACAAAAAAAATCCCAATGTTCTGCTGACATATATTAAATTTGCATCTGTTTTTTTTAAATTTATTTCGTGACGAATTCGTTTTAGGTTGAACAATACAGCAGTAACATAAAAAATGTAAAATTTGAACTTAAATTTTTTAGAGCTCTGAAAAATAATGAAATTGCGCCATTTATGAGTTCAAAATAATGGGGAGATACTATCGATGTTGACGGAACTAAATAAATAATCTGTTTTATTTAACACAAATTATTTTTTTTTTAATCACCAACAATTCTCTTAAAACAAAAGAGAGATAGATAGAGTGACAATTGCGATAGGGACAATAACACCGCGAAAACCAAAAATCCCTAGCGCAAGCAATTACGCCGATAGTATCGAATAGTAATCGATTTATGTTCCACCTCCAACGGAAAACAAAACAAACATTTTTTTACTTTTTCGGCCTTCGGATCGTTCGGACGTGCTACGCGGTCTCGTCTGTGTGAGTGAGTGAGTGTGCGTGACTGGAGCGGCGAGAAAGCACAATTAAAATAAAATCGAGTTGCAGCTGTTAATCCAGAGATAACAGGCGATACAATACAATATCGTTATCTATTTACAAACAAATCGGAATGAAATAATGCCGCACACAAGTGCATAGAGCGGAGTGTCTGTGTGTGCGTAGGTCACTCTCTCTTTGAAATAGTAAACAAATTGCAAAAAAGGCTCAACGAAAAGGAAACAAAAATACAAATATTAATATTATTAAACATAATATTCAGCAGTGCGTGTGAAATAATTCGGAAAAGCCGCCGCAAAAGCAGCGTGCTGCAAGTGTGCTAGTGAGGCGTACACACATATATATATATATATACCAGCGAATAGGTGCATATAACGTGTACATAATACATAAGCAGTGCATTCAATTAAGTGAAATCCATATAGTTTTGTGCATGCGATTTTGGGAGAATCAAAAGGAGTTTCCGCAGCAGCAACGCAGCAGCAGAGGCGCCATCAAAGTAACGGATTTTCACACGCGGGTAAGTTTTTTTCTTCAGCTTCGTGCCCCAAAACAGTGCTAAAATTTTCATTACGCCAAAGAAGAAAAATTCAATATGTATGCGAGAGCAGCTCCATCTCTGTCTCGCTCTATTCCTTTTCCTCTCTCGCCCGCTCTCTCTGCCACTATCCAATTTAACCTCAACCGGTCTCGTATGCATGTCGCCATCTGCGACTGTGTGTGTCTGTGTGTTTGGACAATAGAGGTCAAAGCAATAGTGGCAATAAAAGTCGGACATTCAATAAAATCCTCAATCAGGTTGATAAAACTACATCGCGATATTCTGTAAACAAATATAAGCAGATGGTATGAAAATAAACAGGAAACCTAATATTTTATAAAACCTGTTTTCTTTAAATGTAAAGTTAACTTTTCACTGATTATTTTTAGTTGACAAATACCGCTTAAAAGAGTGTTAACCAGAGTGAAAAAGTAAAAAAATCTTTTTACTGTCCGCTTTTTACCTAAATAATCGGATCTATTTAAGTTCTCAATAAATCAAATAACCTTTCCTATTGTTGTTTGATTACAACAAACAAGCAATTTGTCGTTGGATAATTTAAAACATAAAGATATTATGAATTAAAGTTATAACTAGGAATTACATTTAAAACATAAGTCAAGATGCAAACGACTTGGCAAACTCTTGGTCGTATTGTCCCGCCCTCGACTGTGTGCATCTGCATAAGCGTCTCTACGTGTGGTTGTGTTTGTGTGCGCTTGTCATTCGGCTCGTTAAAAATGCTCTGCCGACGTCGCAGTCGGCGTTGGCGGCTTCTTCTTCTTTAACTCTCGCGCATTATTTCGCAAAGCTCCAAAGCCTGCTTCTTGTTGTTGCTGCCTTTCTTTCTTCTATATTGACAATTTTTATAGCTTTTATTTGTGGTTGCTGCTGTTGCTGTGACGCCATGCTTAGGCGCTTGTTTCAGCTGCTACTTTTTTTTTTGTTGCCTTGCCGCTCGACCGAGTTGCCACGGTTTTCTTTTTTGTTTTCGGAAGGGGTTGTCGCCGCTTGTTCCTTTTTGTTCCATTATCTATACACACATTTCTTGATTATGAATGAGTTGTTGGCGGGTTTTTATTTAACTGTGTTAATGAAGTTTCCGGGGTATATTTCTATATTTATTTTTGCTAATTACCTGTACGCACTTTTTGCGCTTTGCAACACTTGTTAATTTCTCGAAAATTACCCCCCACACACACATATAGAAATGCACTTGTTTCGGCAACTCTCTCTATCCCATTTCGTGCTCTCTTTTTTGGGGCCCTCCACCCTCTTTTTCGCTTACCCCCTCGCTCATACGCATTTTTCGGCAAAGTTGCATGCCCCAAAATACAAATACACAGACATACAAAAAACCACCTTGCTGGCTGTCTCGCTCCTACGCACAGAAACCGTCGGACGCACTAAAACCCGGTTCGTCGTTAGTTTTAAACTTATTTTGGCATTCTTTATGTGCACTGCATTCTCGACGTCTCGTCGGGTCTCCCCATCCTCCTTCTCCTCCTCTTTGCACATCTCTTCACCTCTCGCCTCCTCTCTTCTCTCTTTTTGGTCTCGATTTTACGACCCAGACCCGCATTTCTAGCTGTTTTTGTTGTTATTGTTACAGTGTAGTTGTAGTTTTTGTTGCTGTAGTCGTAATAGTCGATGTTTCAAGGGGCAATAAGGGGGAACCAAAGTTGGAACTAGTTCACAGTGGATCAGGTCAAATCCAAAACATATTTTATCTAAATCAATTGAAAGAATCGTACGATTTTTCAAAACTATTAAGGGCTAATCTTATTCCCCACAAAAATATTTATTGAATTTGGAGGATTTGTTACTAAAAATGAATTTTAAATTCACAGTTCAACAATTTGACCTCGAAAACATTTATTTTAAGTACGCAGTTTAGTTCAGTGCATGGTAGACCCCAGTAAATTAAACTTTTTTGGAAATATATTATTTTGAACAACTTCAAAATTACGTTTTCCACTGTTAACAAAAGTAACTCTTTTATAGGCTTGCCATAAAAACAAAATGTAAAATCGAAGGAATAAAATATCTGGCGGATTGAAACTAGTATGCCCGGTTCTAGATTTATCGCTGTAGCTTTGGCGTTTACCTTTGTTTGCTGCCGTGTCAGCTTCACACACACACACACGACTCACCCGCACACACAGATGTCAGAGTACCTGCGTTTGCAGGTGAGTTTGAGTGTGTGTATGTGTTATTTCTAAGTGGTGGGGGAGCAACTCGAAAGCCGAAATTTCGTGCGTTTTTGTTTGTGCAAGTGGCGCAACAAAAGTCGACAGTTCTGCAGCACCGTTCTTCCTTCTTTCTCCTTTCTCCTTTCTCCTGCCCTTCAATGTTTTCCAGCACACCTCCCTTGTACTTGATATCGATAGCAAAGATTTACCTCTATTTTTTTGGAGCAAAAGGTCAAAAGTTCAGCAATAACTATTTTTTTAAGACACCAGAAACAAAAAAGTTGTATATTTCATATGTCGAACTGAAAGACATCCAAAGACAATTGTAGAATTAGAAATTAAATTAATTAACTAAAATGTACTAACATATCGACTGTAACTTATTTGTTTCCCCTTGGTAGAGATTTAAAAGCAACTTTCGCTTAATAGCGCACTTTTTGGCAGCCCTTTCAAAGTTTTTCCCTTCCAACACAAATATAACTGCTGTAGAAGTTTCGATTTATAGATGAAAACTGGGATTGGTGGGTGGCATGTTTTGGGTGTAATTTCTGTTTTTTTTTGTGGTTGGAGCTGTAACGCATCTGGGGCTGTTTTCTGCCGATATAATCTGCATTCCATGGAACCAAACATATTGCAGTTGTTTTCTATTTCGATTGCTGCACAAGTAACACCCCATTTTCTACACCCATGCAATTTTCTATGTACAGCTTACAACAACAAAGCATCGCAAGCCGAAATGCAGTTTAAAGCGCAACTAAAACTAAACAGAGCTTTCCACTCCAAGTGGGTGTCTCTAAAAGTAGGAGGTGGGTGGTGGGGGGTTTTTTGGTGCTATATACATACATACGTATATCTGCTCTGTATGTGCGAGTGTTTGTTTGGTTTTCCATGTATGGAGTGGAGTGGAGTGGATTTTATATCAAAAGTACAGTCGCTTATTGCTGTTGCTGTTGTTGCTGTATTTCATAGTTCGTAGGTATATATGCACATATAGGTACATAAATTGCATGTTCATGCTTCAATAGTTGCATGCAGCGTCCAGAGAGCATTGTTGTTTTTGGATGGGCAGAGGGGTTTCGGGGTGGTACTGAGGGTTGGGTAAAAAGGGGGGGTTATGTTGTACCTAAACCTAAGCCGATGCACCAAACTAAAATCTCTGTCGACAAGTAAAACAAAAGCCCAACTGCAACAGCAACAACCATGAAGTGCCATGAATCAAAGTCTACACATCGATTCAAGAGCGATTGTAATGGCGAATAAGATAAGACACTCAATGAAAAGGAAAACATTTTCTTATCAGGTGAAAAAACCTCAAAAGTTTTTCAATGGTTATTTCTAAGTACTTTCCAACTCAAAATAGCCCGAAACCTTATTTGATTTTTTAATATTTAACTTTGAATTGTCTTAAATCTTTCTGAATAAAAATAAATCCTAATACCTTATCCAAATATATAAACAAAAATTTTAGATTTTTTGTTTTGAACTAGTCTAAGAATTTTATAATATACTGTATGATATGAAAATGGTCACAGGGAGGAGATTGTTCAGCCAAAGGAATTTGTTTATTGTTTGGATTTATCCAAACTTTCAACCTTAACCCAACTTACCCATCCGAATTTAAGCACCTCCCCTTTCCTTCTGGGAGTTTTTCTGTCTCTTCAGTCGTTTTTACTTATATATATTTTTGTATGGATCCCCTTTGTGCTTTCGGTCTGAGGATGAGTGGGTGGTCTTAACTTTGGCTTTGCTGCTCCTGAAAAAATCGATTAAGCGCGACCAAGAAGGACACGCAACTTAAATTTAAAGCAGACAGTGGAATTAACTTAAGTTTACAAGGGATTTATTCATTTATTTCTTTATATAATGTCCACCTATGTAAGTATACTTTAAACTGAGTGCGATAGAGTCCTTAAGTTTGATTTACAAGGAATTTGTTGATTAAATTACAAGAAACTCCGACATAAAAAAATGTCACGTTAATGGTAAATGAAAAAGAGCAAAATGAACTTATTGATTTTGTAATGAGTTCTGTTTTTACTGGCTTTTCGAGGGGGCGGCATTTTGGTGGTAGGGGTTTTTCCGTAAGCTTCCGCTTATGTATAAAACTTTTTCGGCAGTCCCGGCAACAACAACATCAGCAACAACAAGAAGACAACAACTATGGCAATATGAGAAGGCTGCTGCTGCAATGGTTGGGTGGGGGGTTGGTTGTAGGTGGGTGGGATGGGTGGTTCGGTGGGTGGGTGTTGCTTTTTTCGAGGGGGTGATAGAGGAAAAGAGAACGAGGAGCTGTGGAGCCCTTTCCCCTTCCCCTCCCTTACATTTGTTTGTGTATCGGGTGGCGTTAGTTGAAATGCAGACGTTTTGCATTGTTGTTGTGGGTGATCCTGTTTTTGGGGTGGCTGTGGGTGGCTGGGTGGGTGGTCTGTGGCGGCGGCTCTGTGGCTGTAAAATGCCCCGAAACGGTACAGCTGTGCATGCACATGTATATAAACATTTCGCACACACATACACAAATACAAGCTGAGAGCGAGCAAGAGAGAGGAGCATGCAAAAACAGATACATATACAAAACAGGACAAGAGGGGCGCCCAGGGGGTGGTGGTGCGGAATGGTGGTGGGGGTGGTAGGGAGTAGAATGGCATGACAGGGTCTGCTGGTCTGGTCGCCTGCTTCCTTCCTCGCATAGTTCAAGTATGCATATAATATCCGGGCTCGTCGGTACCCGAAAACGAAGGCAACAACAACAAACATAGCATCATCCGATGAACCACCACACCCCCCTGA